GGGGTAAGGGGAATAGCATGAAGAGAGGCACAAGTCCAGAAAGAGCACGGAAATTTCTGGAAACAGCAAGTGGTGCAGATGGGCTGGAGAATTGGTGCCTGGACAGTGCTGTGGAACCTGAAAACCTGGTCCACTAAAAGGAACTGTTAAACACTGAATCTGAATGACCGGAGAATAATCCCATGCACGGGGCTGACGTTTAATAAAATACACTGTAAAAAATAATAATAAATAAAAATAATCTGTAAATATATGTGTGACACTTTATGGTTCCTGCGAAGATGCTATATGAACTAGCTAATAATAGTAAGGAAAGCTTTATAGAAATGCTCATAGCATGCTGTTCAAATGCTAAGCATGTATGTAAATATAAAGGCCCATGTGCTGTTACATAATGCTGTGTATTAACCTTAGTCTGCTGATACAGCTGTAGTGGGGAGAGAGAGGACCAAGTCTCGGTATTCTGGAGCGCTGGGTATTCTGGAGCGCTGTTTCCATTCATTCGCGGATTCATTTACTCAACAAATTGACAATCTTGTGCCAAAAGACTAGAGGTGAGAATCCATACATGAGTACAGCAGGGGTCTTGCTTTCAAGCAACTTTCAAGCTAATAGTGAAGACAAACCCGTCAATCAATAAGTGGGCACCTTACAACAGGACAGGTGCTCTGAAAACACCCCTTCTGTGCACTGTGGGAGCACAAAGGGGCTGGGGGCGGGGCAGCCCAGGAGCGGGGTGAAGACTGAGGGGTGGTCTTCATAGGGGAGGTGACGCTTGGGATAACTATTGAAGGATGAGTTGGGCTTAAAGGCATCCAGGGAGAAAGAGCAAAGAAAGGGCAGACCGCAACAGCAAGGCTATTTTGGAGCCACTGCAAGTTTTTCTTAAACAAAACACGAAGTAGGGGGTCTTTTAAATTTGTGAAGCATTCACAGTTGGTCAAGCTGTATAATTACCTGGCTGCCTGCCAAAAACCACCTGTCCGTGCACGCTTTCCGGCCTGCGGGGGACGCGGGTAGCGGCCAGTGCTTACCGTGTGCCCACGATGCACGTGCATTACAGTAGGTGCATGGGGAAGAAAGCGGGCAGCAACGCAAATACTGTGAAAAATTGAGCGTTTCGAGTTGGGAGCCAGCCACAGTTGCGGGTTCGTCTGAACGGCCGTGAGCGGCGGACAAGGCGCTGTTGTCGCGGCAGCCAGCGCGGTGGCCCCTGGCCGCCCTTTGTGACCTTGCGCTGAGGGTCTCCGCGCTCTTTTGCATAAAGCGTCTTGACTGCGATCACGTCTTTGATCCGAACAGTTTTCCTTTATTACGTTAGTGAAGAATCGTCATTGTATCAAAAGGCAAACCGGAGCTCTTCCTGTCGCAGCTGCCGGTCTTCCAGCAAAGCAGGGCAGGGGCAGACAGGGCGCTCTCGCCCGTGCTGAGGGTCACGCTGACACTCCTATGAGAAGAGGCAGGTGAACACGAGAGAGGCATAACACGTTTATTTAATCAAAGTTTTACGTGACAAGGGAAACTTCAGAAGTGAAGAGCAAAGACCGAGGGAAGACTGCCTGTTTTCATGCTTTGGTTTGATGAAGAATGCACAGCCATGCAGAGCTGTGATTGGACAAAAAGCGGGGATGATCTAATGGGAGTAGACTGAGGGGGAAACCAGCAAGGCCTGTCTGTTCAGATTCTTTGTGGCCTCTCTGTGTAGCTTCCTTCCCGGTATGGGGCAGGCCTCCTCTGGAATGAGGGTGTTCAAGGGAGAAGGTGAGAGTGACCTTTCTGGGTTTTATGGCTTGTTTTGCTCTAGTTTCTATGACCTGCCTTGGGGAAGAGTAATTCTGGTTCCTTTGACTGGCCGGTGTTGGGGGGGTGGGGAGAGGGGACAGGAGGATGGGAGAAGACCAGGCGACCTCTCTCTGAGGTCTTTCCATTGCCCTTCCCTTTAAAGCTCTCGGTAGTACGCCAGGATGCCATATTTTGGGGTATTGTATTCTGAGCCCCAACAGCAGCAAGAAGACAGGACAGGTATAACCAAACAGCCTGTGGGTACCTGTAGTACCTGTTGCAAGTCACCAGATAGTTTCCACTTCTGTGATGTCCACAAAAAGCCGAAAAATCCCAAAAAGAAAAAGAGAAAAGAAAGGCTGAAAAATCCCTGTGGCGTTTTTGGGGGAGGGGGGATGTAAAGGACAGGCCCCTGTGAAACAGGGCCATGAGCAAAACTGCTGGGTATGCTACACTTTGTCATCGTTGGGGCAGACTGGAAAAAACACTAATTATGAATCCTCTTCTCGCCCTCTCGTTTAGCTCTGGCTGCTTCTCCTCTGTCCACTTAGCTGCCCAAACATCCGTATTTAGACAAACACAAGCCCCACCTTCCTGCCATCGCTTCCAACCACATCTTATCTCTTTCTTCCTGTTCACTGCCAGAGTTCTTGGAAAACTTCTCTACTTTCTGGCTTCTATAAGATAACCTATCATCATCATTAACCAAAAAGACGAACACAGAAAAAGCCCACTCTTTATGTCTGTCTTCATTGCTTTGATATGGTAAGGTAGCACCAGGAAAATCTTCTAAGACGGAAGTCTTGAGGTATCACAAGGCTGCAACCTTGGAAGCATTAGGGGTCAGCCTTACACACTGAATTAGAACTCAGAACCCCGAGTGGCCAGCCTGTGGATCATAACTGAACTTCAGCAGCAATAAAGATGGGTAGTGAGCTGAGTGGGGCAGCTGGTTTGGGGCAGTAGCCTCAAAACATGTCACAGGGAAGATAGATAAAATTTCAGACCAATAGGACCTTAGCTTAACTCTGCAGCATATAACGCCATGTTGGCAAATTCTCCATGAGGGACTAGGGTCATGGAATGACCTAGTGCAAGTTTTTAACCTTTTAAAGGCAAATTGCCTAGAGTCAGATAGAGCAGAAAGATAATGAGAAAGAGAGGGTAATATATTGTAGTACATAAAATTTAAAGTAAAATCTTTTTACCATCTCATCTGAAAATAATTTGATAATGTCTCTGAAGACTTATACTCAGTGTTCGTGTTAGTGTTAGGTCTCAAGACGGACATCAACAAGCTGGGATGGCTTCCAGACTCTTTGCACACATCTCTGTTTGTCAGTGTCCTGTGAACCCTGGCTAAAAGAATGAGGCAAATGGTCTGAGTCCAGGAAGCAGAAGAAGCTGGATCCCTCTTCTGTCAGGGACAGGCATAACCTGTCCCCTCACACTACAAGAAGCTATTTGACACCCACCCCCTCTTAACCCACCTCCTCAAGCTCTCGCTAAAGCAGGATAGTAGAGCATCAAAGGCAAGGACTCCAGGAGTCTTGCTTTCTGTAGGGAAATACTATTTCCTATTTAATAAAGAGGAAAACAAGGAAGGAGAAAGACGAGGTGGCAAGAACAATCTTCCTCAGCTACTCAAGCAGTTCTGGCAAGGATTTCTCCATGTCCCTAACTCAGTGTCCCCAGGCTGCTCTCTGCCACTCTGAACGCCATTCGGGATGCCTCATTCTCTCTGCCTCCCAAGTGTTTTCCTCTCCAAAAGCACTTATTTGTCCAATCAGAGTATCAGAGACCAATTACCGATGGCCAAAACACACACACTAATCAACACATTAAACATAGATAAAGTGAACAACAGCAAGTAGAGAGAAGAAGCAACCCAATATTCTTATCCACATGTGAGGGTCTGACCTACTACTTGCAGCAGAGGTATTGGTTGTTGAGGATTCTAAAATCACATGGGAAAAAGAATATGTGAAAATTGAGGACATGGATGAACCTACAAGAAAGTGCTTAAAGTCATTTTGCATGTAAAAAAATAAAACAGTACGTAATAATAGATAATAGAGATATCACCAGAACATTAAGTTTCTTGAAGGCAAGGACCACATCTGTTTTGTTTCACTACTATACACATACCACCTACTGCCCAGTAAAGTGCCTGCTATGCAATGGTGCTAAATATTTGTTTTCTGATTAGCTGGATAAATTGCTGATTTAATTTCAATTTAATGGTTCCTGTTCGCAAAATTATTAGTTTTATTTAATGTGGATTAGTGTATTTTTATTTGCCTTTCCATCTAAATATTCAATTTATTTTATTTTATTTTTTTGGAGTCTCCTGTCCTAAGGCCTTGGAAATTGCTGTCTCCGGTGCCTGGAACACTCTTCTCTCTGCTACGTTCTGTTTTGTTTTGTTTCTATTTTGACACGTTACAAACATATAACCAACACTGTGTACCTACCACCCCAAATTAATGACTATTAAGCTTTCGACTTTTTTCCTTGGATTTTAACATTAAAAAAGAGAACAATATGAAGTCCCCTTTGTTCTCCGCATGTTCTATTCCCTTTGTCCTGACTCACAGCATGTAATGGATATGGCTGGTCCCCTACCCTGCATGTCCACTTCTCCCTTCCTTCTTTCTAACACAACCTTGACTTCGCTGCCAGTTGCAGCCCAGTTGTGGCCAAGGAGGAATGAGGGCAAGTTTCCTGGAGGCCATGTTTCATCTTGGCCCAGGTTACACAACAGGAAGCCTGCAGCACTTCTAGAAGCTCCTACTCTGCCTGTCCTGCCCTCAAAGCTTTGCCTTTAGACAACTGGGAGAGGAACAGGCACTTGGAATTTCTGACCCGATGCCGAGGCATGAACTAAATGGTGTTCTTGTTTGTACAGTCTTCCTCATCTGTCGTCTGTGTATCTCACACCACAGTCTGCTCTAAAACAGGCAACATCAACAGTAGAAATAGTAGAAAACTGGACTTCTTAAATGGGTCCACATCTCTCCTCCTGAACAAGAGAGAAAAATGGCTTTTCCTTTTATGTTCAATCACGTTTTGCTTCATTTATTATGCTATTGCAGTTGTGTGTGTGTTTCAAGTCTGCACTAGGAAGGACTCATACAAGGTTAAGTCTCCATTCGGATAAATGATGTTTAAAGGAGTAGCTCCTAACTGACCTCCCGTTTCTCTCTCTCTGCTTGTAGGTTGCAGCATGTTCACCTTCCTGTCCTCTGTCACTGCGGCTGTCAGTGGCCTCCTGGTGGGTTATGAACTTGGGCTTATCTCTGGGGCACTTCTTCAGATCAGAACTGAATTAGGCCTGACCTGCCATGAGCAGGAAATGGTGGTGAGCGCCCTGCTCATTGGGGCCTTCGTCGCCTCTCTCATCGGAGGGGTCCTGATAGACAGGTATGGAAGGAGGACAGCGATCATCTTGTCGTCCTGCCTGCTGGGACTCGGAAGCTTAGTCTTGATACTCAGTGTGTCCTACACGGTTCTTATCGCGGGACGCATCGCTATAGGGGTTTCCATCTCACTGTCTTCCATTGCCACGTGTGTTTACATCGCGGAGATTGCTCCCCAGCACAGAAGAGGCCTTCTCGTGTCACTAAACGAGCTGATGATTGTCATCGGCATTCTTTTCGCCTATATTTCAAATTATGCATTTGCCAATGTTTCCCGTGGCTGGAAGTATATGTTTGGTCTTGTTATTCCCTTGGGAGTTTTGCAAGCGATTGCAATGTACTTTCTTCCTCCCAGCCCGCGGTTTCTGGTGATGAAAGGAAAAGAGGAAGCTGCTAGCAAGGTTCTCGGAAGGTTAAGAGCAGTCTCAGATACAACAGAGGAACTCACAGTGATAAAATCTTCCCTGAAAGATGAATATCAGTACAGTTTTTGGGATCTGTTTAGCTCAAAGGACAACATGAGGACCCGAATGATGATAGGCCTAACATTGGTATTTTTTGTACAAGTCACTGGCCAGCCAAACATATTATTCTATGCATCAACTGTTTTGAAGTCTGTTGGCTTTCAAAGCAACGAGGCGGCTAGCCTCGCCTCCACTGGGGTTGGGGTGGTCAAGGTCGTCAGCACCATCCCAGCCACTCTGCTTGTAGACCACGTTGGCAGCAAAACTTTCCTCTGCATTGGCTCCTCTGTGATGGCAGCTTCACTGATGACCATGGGCATTGTGAATCTCAACATCCACATGAACTTCACCAATATCTGCAGAAGCCACACTCCTCTCAACCAGTCCTTGGATGAGTCTGCGTTTTATGGACCAAGAAACCTGTCAGCCGGCAATGACACTCTCAGAGAGCACTTTCAAGGGATCACTTCCCACAGCAGCAGCTCACACATGCCCATGAGAAATCACATGGATAAGAGGGGAGGGACGACCTCTGCATCCTTACCAAATGCTGGACTGAGCCAAACTGAAACCCAGGTAGTCACAGACCCTGCGGACGTCCCAGCTTTTTTGAAATGGCTGTCCTTAGCCAGTCTGCTTGTTTATGTTGCTGCTTTTTCAATTGGTCTAGGACCAAGTAAGTACTTTATTCTTTATTCCTTCCCTCTCTCCCCTTATGAATGTCAATGTATTACTTGTTTATTTTTTGGTTGTGGGTCTGTATGGGAATTCAAACCTTTGACCTTGGTGTGATAACACTGTGCTCTAACCAACTGCACTAATCGACCAGCCTAATGTATTACTTTTGGTCAGTCAGAGCATCCCACTGCTGTAGTACCTTGTACATATAAGTACTAGAAGCAAGATGAGGATAATGTTGGCCACTTGATGTTTCTGCTAATGTGGAAAGTATGCTTAGTTTATATCTGCTTCTGGAAAGTGCAGGGCTAGTATTCAATTGAGGAATAAGTTTTCCATTATATGTCATATGAGGATACTCTAACTCCAATTGATAGGGGACGAACCACACCTGGAAAGATATTTATTGTCCAAGGGAAATTATATTGTTTTATAAAAGCAAAGGTTACTTATGTAACATTTCCTCCATATCTTCTCTGAGTTTCTTCATAGGTGGAAGAAAAACAAAATCAAGTGGTTAGATTTACTTAAAGACAAAATAAGGGGTGTATTCCAATAATAATGAAGAAGGGATTATCAGTTGGGAAGGAGAATGCATTATCTTTGAGTACATTTTATTCACGAAATTAACCTCCCATGATACTTCACTCTGATCCATTATACGGGACTACAGGAGTCTAGTTATTCCATCCAACGCAATACAAACAATTTATAGGGAGATAGCCACAAGTTAACAACTTTATTTAATATAGCCAGTTTGTACCAATGACAGAGTATAAACATTTCTCTTGAGCAAACTGTCTTACAGATGGATTTGCTAGAATGGGTTGTTTGTTGCATTTCTCTCATCTTTTAGCCCCACAGCCAAAGTCTAAACCTCTCTGCAGGGAAGTTGTGAAGGGTCTTTTGTACACCTGACTAGAAAAAAAAGTACATAAAAATCAAGAGTAGTCTCTCTCTATCTTCTCCCTCTTCTTTATCTTTCTTTCTCTCTCATTCCTTTCCCTTTCTTCTGCAGCCCCTCCCTCTCTGTTTACAGAATTGGTTTTGAAACTTGTTTATAAGGATCAAGGAGGCAAGCATATTGGCTCAACTAAAGGGAATGTTGGAGGTTCAGGACCAATGAGAAGATTTATGCTGTATTGAAGGAGAAGGAACTTCATGGAAAAGTACATGTCTCTGGGGCCAGGTACTGGACAGTATTTCTGGAAGAAGGCCACACATGGGCTCACTCCTGTCATTCACTGCTAACTCATTAACTAGTCATTCCAGTGATATGTATTGAGTAACTAATTTTTTAAATAACCAAGAACTATACTAAATGCTGGGGAAAACAGTAAAGAACAGGATAGACTGGTCCTTGTTTCAAGGAGATCATAGTTCAATGCTGAATGGACTGAGCTACACTCTCTGATTCTTTCTGGTCAGCAACTAGTGAGTTGGCCTGCTTAATCTCAGTTAATTAATAACTAGACTTGTGGTATTAGTCCATTTCTGTTCCTTATAACAAAATACACAGAACAGTAATTTATAAAGAAAATAAAATGTATTGCTTATGGTTTCAGAGGCTGGGAAGTCCAAAGTTCAGGGAACACAACTGATGAGGATCTTGGTGGTGGTGACAGTGACTCAGGGGTCTCACATGGCAGAAAAATGGTGGAGCAGAGAGGAACTAACCTCTCATGTGCTTTTCTTTTAAAGCCCTCAGAACTACGCCCATGACTACCATTTTTAATCCATTCACTATGGCATGGTCCTGCAATCTGATCTCCTCTTCAAGGCCCCACCTTTCAATTACCATAATAGGATTTCCCACCCTCTCAGTACTGTCACAGTGGGGGTCAAGTTTCGGGGGACATTCAATCCAAGGTACTTGTACATAGCTGATATGGCCTGTCCTGCCCCAACTCTACCTCCTCATTTTTCAGCCTCTACTCCCACTTCCAAGTGAACTCAGTTTCTAGATGTTGATTCATTCAAATTTCAGAAACAGAAAGAGAGAGGCAATCTGATTGACTCTGCTCTTTGCTCTGTCAGGTCAGAGGTAGCAGTTCAGTCTTAATCAGCTGTGGCAAAATTGGGTAACATAGTCCAAACCATGGATGGCCAAAAGCTGGTCTTTCCCCACATAATACTGGGCATGGGCAGATAGAGTAAGCATTACAATACCATCAGCCCCTGACCACTCTGACTTGTTCCTAAACCTTGACCCTGCTTCTTAATACTTAACAATGATACATATCATTAGTGAACGGTTCCTGAAAACAGATTTCTACTATTATTTCAGGATTCAATGATCATGGGTATGTGCCTGTGAGATACACTCTGTCTACTCTGATACTTAAAACTAATGAAATTTGAGCAAGCATCTTACTTACAATTTTATATCAAGAAGCCCTTCAAAGTCTATCAGAAGGGCTAGCATGGGTGCCATTTTCTACTAAGGAACAACTTAACCTTGCTTGTTGAACTTTTCTATATTATTAAGTACAACAAGTTTTGCTCATTTAATAAACTTCAGGTGGTGTTTATTATTCCATTGATTTCCTTTGCCAACATCTTTTTTTTCTGTATATTTATCATAAACTAAAAATACAGTATTACCTTTTTACATCAATTTTTGATTCAATCTTTTGAAATATCAAGAACCAATTAAGAATTTAAGAGAGAGTTAGCAAAAAGGAAGGGATGCTTTCTTTGTTTTAATTCAGAGTGGAACCTCTCAAGTTGAAAGAGTTAATGTAATGGCACATATTAATAGAGACATTGCTCTTAAACTTCCACAAACAACCTATTTATGGTTGCTTATCATGCTATACTTCTCTTGTTAGTTTTTAGGTAATTTTGAAAAATGCAGCAAATCCTTCAGTTTTGAACACATCAATTGATACTGTATTGTATTAGAGCAAGAGTTCCCCTTTATAGAAAACTCAATCTGATTTTTGAAAAAATTACTGGAGGCTGTTTGTTATTTACCTTCTAGGATTCCTTAAATAGTATTCTACACAAATTCTTTTTAAATTTAATCTTTAGATTTAACTAATTTATATCAAGTACTGTGCTAGGCAGTTTTTACATACCTTGGAGTACTTTATTTTATCTTCACAGCAAGTCCATGAAGACAGGATATTCATTGACTTTTACAAATGAAGACATTGAATCTCAGAGAGGTTAAGTGACTTGCTGAAAAAAAATGAAAACATTTCTTGTCTTCTGACGTTCATTGTTAATCTTTAATCCCAGACAAGAATAGGCAGTTCTGCAGGTGGTGTAGACAGAATACGTTAATTATTTTTCGTTCCATCCTCCCCTTGAAGATACATAAAAAGTAAAAATATATACAATAAAAATACTGTATTGCTGTTCAACTGTCAGGCTATTAAGCAGGCCACTTGCATTTTTTGCAAGATAAAGACAAAGTTTCTCTTTTTCCGAAGCTCCGCTAGGTAAATGGGCATGTACTTTTTATAAGGCAGAGCTACAGGATGAAAGTCAAGGGTAATGGTAAGAAGAGAGTTTTTGATGTGCATTTAGTTGAGTAACTGAAGTTGATTAAGAAAATGTTGAATGTGTGTATTGGTTAGAATCCAAGATCAGCTGATGTAACAAAGACCAAGATAACAATGGATTAAACAAGTTAGAAGTTACTTTCTCTCTCACTCAACAGCTAGAGTTGGGTACTTCTGGGTGCTGTGCAAGTGCCCAGGGTCAGGCACCTGAAGCCTATAGTTTCCCCAGACCTTATTTTGGCCAGTACTTTAATAATGGTTCCTTGTCTATCATGATGCCTATTTAAAAACATTAAGATACATTTTAAAATTTCATCATCCTTTACTAATAGCCAATGGTCCTTTGAGAATAAGTAAAATACAGAGTGCAGTCAATTAAAAGTAGATCAGGTATAGAAAGGCCTGGATAATCTGTAGACAGTGTGAGTAATTGTACCCGGAAAGCAGAACCACGGTGAGTGATATGGGTAAGGAATTTCTTATAGGGATTAGACATCACACAATCACAGGAGAAGCTGAGAAAGCAGAGGTCTGGAAAGGGATGATTGGGGGGAAAGGAAAAAGTCACTAATCAGTACCATAAAGGGAAGCTGTTGAAGAAGTCTGTGGAAGGCTATTGCCTCTGCAGGGCAGTGGGGTGGGCAGGAGGAAAAGTCAGACTCAAAGCAGAAGGAAACAAAGACTGAACATTCTGGAATCAGGAGAAGAAATTGCAGCCTGTATCTGTCTCTTACTGCATCAACTCTGATGATGCAGAAAAATTGTTGCCCTTCTTCAAGAGCTCTGACAATGAGCCTGGCCTAGTACTTGGAAAAGTTGTAGGAGGATATCTGACCAAAATCGCTGCTCTCCCACACCAACAAGGGGAACCAGTAATCAGCAACAAGGTACACACGCTCAGTGGTGGCTAGGGACCTGTACCGGCCCCAGCCCTCAAGCAGAGGGCTGGAGTGTCGCTTTGGCCTTCCAAATCTCATGCAGATTTCTTTTTCTGCCATCCCTAATGCAGAACTACACAGGGAAGGAGAATTCTGGGAAAAGTGGTTCCAGCTTAGCTAAAGGGACACAGTGCAAAACCACCACGGTAATATACTCGGGCCTAAGAGAGAATAGATGTGAATGTGGGGGAAAAATATATGCAAAAGGTCATGGGCCCTGAATTCAGTCTTCCATTGTGATAGACATTTTTTAAATTATTGAAGTGTATGACTAGCTTCTATTCCATTTATGAGGGTACTTCAAACAGTTCATGGAAAGATTTGTATTATCTTTCAATGTTATTTTTCCATGAATTTTTAAAGTATTCTTGTACTTCTAAAAAAAGAAGGCCATTAAAAATGAGGTCATTTCATTAATGTCTTTTGGCCTTGGTTTCTTAGCTGTCAAACCAAAACACACTCTTCTGCTAATGCATTTTAAAATCTTTCATGTTTGCTTTCTGAGGAACATTAATTATCTCCCTTGAGCAGATGACCCCCACTTATCTCCA